AAGTTCCCGGTCTCCCCCTCCCCCACGTCTGTCCTTCTGACCCTTACCAGTCCTGTCAGTCACTCATAGGCGCCCAGTGTGTGCCCTGCACTGGACATCCGCACTCTTCTGCTGCACAGCCCCGGAGTACTGAGCAAAGGGTGGTCACTGCGGCAGTGAAGGCAGACCCAGCTAGAGCAAAGCAAAGCTGATCCCCTGCCAACGCGCGACCTCCACTTCCCTAATCCCGCTGTGCCCCTGTCTTTTCCAGACTGGAAGATAACAGCATTTGTCAGGGCTCAAGGCAGAAACAGCCGTGTCTGTATTTGAAAGCAATCGCCAGTTTTCACTTCTTCATCAAACAGTTGTCACAATGTGCTAGGAACTTTTCCTGTATCCTCAAGTTGGTTCCATGGTAATTATATGAAGTATATTCCGTTTCTCCCATTTTACAGATGAGATCGCCGAGGCTGAAAGGGGCTGAGTAACTCCTCTTACTTAAATGCAAAATGTGGAATAGAGACCAAGCTATTAGTTGGGGGAGCTGCTGATGAGCTTGGCACGGGGCTGGGCTCAGAGCTCAGTGAGGAGGCCACAAGCAGACATGCCACTCTGATGCACGGTGTGCAGAGTCAAGGGGCTGGGGCGAAGAGGGTGCCAGACTCTCAGAGAAGTCCGTGCCAGCTTTAGAGGAGGCAACTTTCAAATAAACTACCAGGACAGAAGTGCATTGGGGACTGGGTGCAGGTGGGTGAAGGCTCGTAGGCAAGAGAATCTGGGAACATTTTAGAGACCGAGAAGTCCAGGAACCAGAGAGGAGGCGGGAAGCACAGAGGAGAGGTTGAGAGGCTGGTGAACTCCCACAGGCCCTGGAGCTTCCAGGAGGAGAAGAGTTTGGATCTTGCCCTGTGCTGGATAGGAAGGCATGGAGACACTGAAGCAGGGTCTATGGTCAGGCTGCATTATAGATGCTTCTAGGGCAGGGACAGTTTTAGGGGGGTTCTGAGATTTCTCCCATGGGCTTTCACGCCTGGGACCCTGCATCCTCCACTATGACTTTCTATTACTCTCTATTCCGGCCTCTTTACAGATCCAGTGTTCCTCCTCCTGCTGGGTTCTGCATTTTGAGTGCCTCCCCAAAGGTTCCTCATGCCAACCACCCCCATGCCCTCGCCAGCCAGCCAGAAAGCACCGTGGAAGCCTGGGCTTCAGAATTAGACAGGTCTGAATTGAACTCTGGGCTGGCCACTACTGTGTGACTAAAGCACGTAACTTGAACTATCCAAAGTTTCCTCCCTTTTATGAAGCTAGGCGATTAATTGCTCCCACCGGAAGTGAGCTGAGGTGTAAAGTCCTTAATTCCTGCCATGCAGTTAAGTCTCAGTGTGGCCTTTTCCTTGCCCTTTTAGATGCACAGCCATTCTAAGGGAGGTCACACAATACCTGGGAAAAGTTTCCACTTATTCCAGGTGGGCTGCTAGTGGGTTGGCATGGATGTATAATGAGAAGGGCTGGGCCAACAGCTAGAAGAAAGAAGAGGGCTGCAAAAGGGGCCTCCATCTAGAGCACCACTTTTAGAGAGTGAAATCTGATGTCCCTGGCCCCTAGAGATTGCAATAGGCTCTGGGAGTCCTTCAACTTGATTGGATCACATAAGACACTATCACCCCATATCTGAAAATTGTATCCTTAGCCTGTTTTAGTTAATTTTTCTTTCATTGCTGAAAAACCCAAATACCTGGCATCCAAAGTCAAGGGAGAAAAGGCTTACTTAGCTCATGGTCCACACAGGTTTCAATACATAAATGGCTGGCTCCAAGGCAGGGTGGCACAACAGACAGGCATCACAGAGGAGAAACAGTTCATGGCAGGCAGAAGACAGCAAAGCTACAAGGGATGGACACAGTTCTATTTCTTATGTCTTATCCAAGGCACTTAGGGCGTGTAGTACTCATACCCTTAATCCTAGTACACTGTAAATCAATTCCAACATCACATGCTCTAGATGCAAGCTCTGAAAAAGCCCCACCTATAATAACACGAGGCTTTGGTGGGACATCTTAGCTACAAACTGTATCCGCTAAAGTGCAGCGTGGGTGTCAGAGGAGCAGGCACATGGGCCCATCTGCGGCATCTGAGGCCCAGGCATGAAGAGGGACAGAACGATAACCAGAGCTTGTCGACCCTTGCTCTGCTTCTCATAGCAAGGACCCCACTAAGATTTCAGAAGCTGACTGCGCAGACCCAGGGGCCTCCGACCCTATAGGGAGAATGAAACAAGGGTGAGAATAGACTTGAACTTCATCTAACACTGACCCAGTATGAGAAATACGAGTGGAGTTCTCTCAGCTCAAGTGTTAGGCCCCTGCCCGAAAGATGAATGATGCTAGAGACGAGTCTTGTACCAAAGCAATGCTCCTAGAAATTAAGCCCTTGAAAGCCATGTCTCCAACTCAGAACCTGGCTCTAACCCCTAAATTAGCTTTTCCCTTGTTGATAGCATCAAGAATGGCAGGGCAAAAGCTAACTGAGAGGCTGAGATGGCAAATTTGGAGCCAACTCGAATCTGGCCAGTCAGCCTCTGAGATCTCAGTGGGGTCCTCCACTCTGAAGATCAGGGCCGGGGAGACTGGCTCAGGTCTCTGTCCTGTCCCACTTCATGTCTGGGCCTCAGATGCTACAGATGGGCCTTGTGTCTGCTCCTTTGGTACCCAAGCTGCACCTTAGCCAATTTTGGAGCAAAAGCTAAATGAGAAACTGAGATGGTAAATTTGGAGCCAACTTGGAAACTTTTCAAGAAACATCCTTGTTGCTATTACCATGTTTGGGGGCTGGCTGGGCTTCTAGGATTAGTGTTCAGGAGATAGAAATGGGTAACAACGGGGGAGGTGTTGATCTTTCCCAAGTGCCATACCAGGTATTAAAATAAACAGGCGCTTGCCTCCTGGAGCTGGGGGTGGCAGGGAAGAGAAATCTGGGTCCAAGCAAAATCAGAAAATGCATTAATGCGTGAAGTGGGAGTAGGAAGGACCAAACTTGATAGTCTTTGGCTCTTTTTTGCCTCTGAAACAATGTATGTCTCCCAGTTGCCACTCTAGGGGCACAGGACAGTGCAATCTCAGGTAAAAATCAGGGGTTAGTGTGACCTGAGCACTTTAGTATCTTGGGGCTTAGCAAAGTTGGATGTGAAAAAAGCAGAGAGGGGAAAGCCTGGTACAGAACCTTCAGTGGTATGGAGGAGAGAGCTGTAGTGGAGTGGTGAGGACACAGACAGGTAATCAGAAGACTGGGCACTATTACATCTCACCTGAATAACACAAGGGAATAAGCAGGTATACGTGCATCAAGTGCTTTACCATTATCCCCGCTACAAGAATGAGTATTGCAGTAGAACAGGAAGTATGTGAACAGGTGTGAGCCTCTCCCTGGCAGTAATTCTTAATCCTGGCCGTACAAACACAAGAAACCCTGGAAAGTTTGTTTTTGTTGGTTTTAGTGCAGATTTCTTCAGTTTCCAAACTAGACAGATTCAACAGAACTTTTTCTTTTTGGTACTGGGGATTGAACCAGGGCCTCCGCACTAAGCTACATCCCACCCTTTTTAACTTATTTTGAGACAAGATCTCACTGTTGTTAAGTTGCTCAGGCTGGACTTAGAATTGCAATCTCACTGCTCCAGCCTGAGTGCTGGGATGAGAGGCTTGTGCCACCACTCCTGGCTCCCAGTCTTTGGGGAAAGCTTTCCAGGTGATGCACATCCAAGAGGAGTTCCTTCCTGGGCACTTTTTGTCCAAAGCCCATTAGGTCTATACCAATGACCTGAACTGGTGATCTCAACAGCGTTTTTACCCCAAGCCTCAATTTAGACTACCATGACCCCATTCCTCAATTGTTACTCGCATTGTAATTTGGGCTAACTGCATGCAGCCCAGCAATATGGAGACAGCCAAAAAGTTTCTAGCTGCCCAAGGTAGTCTGCTCATGGTGTCTGGACAACCAAGTAGAAAAAAATCAGCTATTGTGTGGGAGCACCTTCCAGGGCCACTTGGCCAAGGCCTCTTGGTAGTGGATCCCTCATTCTAGCCTTCCCCTAACTGCAGGCTATGGGGGATTTCAATGGCTTTCAGCTCATTGGAACTAAAGGATGACCAGCTCATCTTGACAATACCTGGGTCATGTGACCCCAGAAACAGACACAGGTCACTAGAACTGAACTCCTCGGGAGGTCTGCTTTAAAGGTGTAGTGATTCTATTTGCTTAGAAATATGTAGGCCCCGCATCCACGTCTGAGAGGCTTTTTAAAGGGGAGAGCTGAGTGAGACAGCCTGGGTAATGGAAAATGGAGCTCAGCTGTGTTCCTCCTGCCCTTGGCCTTGGCTGTCTGCCTACCTACCCAGGAAAACCCCACCACTGCAGCTCTGCCTAGTGCCCCTGGGAAACCTGCCAGGGCAGATTGGCTCCTCTGAGCACTTCCTGGCTGTAGATGCCTGTGGTGGTGGCGGTTTGGGACTTGGGAGCCACTCTTCCTTCTTCAAGTCAGTTGTAATTTTGTCTGGCTGAGTCCCTGGGAGATCTGTGACACTCAAAAATTCTCAAAAGAATGACTATTAATATTCTGTCCCTCCTCTGGCCAGCTGTTTTGTTTTATAGTGTCAGTTCTGGGAACAGAGTACATTATCACGAACTTCATTTTTTTGTAAATGAGTTTATTGACGAAGACACAAGGTCAAGCTTCCCATGACCCCCACCCTTCCCAAGAACATAGCCCAATAACAGAACGATACGATTCCAAGGGCAACACTTCCCCTTCCCCTGTGTCTCCCCAGAATCCACTCACGGTTAACAGGCCCGGGTGAGGACAGACACTCAGGAATCTCTGACCAGCAAGAGTTCTGGGTGTGTGTTTGCTTCCCTTGCCCTTCACATGGTGCTGGCTCACATTACAGAGATGTGCTTGAGCAGAAGACAGGGGATGCAGGGCAATCCCCCCACTTCCCCTATCTGAGGAAGCTTGAAAGGGGCCTCAAAGGAAGCTGTGGAGGCAACAGGCTGCCTCTTCAGGAAAGAGGTCCTTTTATGTGAAGCAGAGTCCCTCCCTGACTCTGCTCAGGATGCAGCTGGAGGTGGCCCCCCGGAAAGGTGTGAAGACATCTGGACTGGCTCAGCAGAGAACAGCAGCTGTTATCCATTACTGGTGGTGAGGCTCAGAGAAGCCTGTTTCAGGGGTTGAGGGGGCATATCCTGGCACAAAACTGACTGCTTGCCCTGACACATACTCTTCCTCCTGGAACTATGGTTTCCTCTGAGATGAAAATGGTGTTTGTAGTGTGAATCTTCTTCACTACTTGTATCCAACTGACTCCTTGAATGAGTCCCAGCAAGGGAGCTTCAACTTGCTTCACCCCACCCCCTGTATCACCAGCCTACCCACCTCCCACACACAATCCGGTGCTATTTCCTATTCCCCACGTGCCTGAGGGGTGGTGAGGAATACACTTCCTTTCTTTTACCCAGTAATTCCCTCAAAGATTTTTCAAGGTTTAAGAAACTGCTTTAGAGAACCCACCACCCACAACTGTTGCAACTGGTATAAACAAGGATCATTTCAAACTTGAGGAACTGGGGCTTGGCTTCTACTCTTATTTTCTACAATTCCTCCTCTCAGCCTGGGTTAGGTCTGAGTTGACCACGAGGCCTCTGGACCCCAGAGTGCCTCTAACTCAACAAGAGGAATCTGAGAAGCACTGTGTTGGTTATGAAGCCTCAGTATCAGATGTCAGACTACGCAACAAGTGCCCACAGACCACACAGTGTGAACATTGTTAAACAGGGTGGTAGTTTCAGCCTGAAGCATGCTCAACTCCATATGTTAAGGGAGCAGATTTCACCTCCCAGTCTTCAGAGAGATGATGAGAATTGCTTGAGCTTCTGGGATGATCATAATCTGCTCTGGGGCCTGAACATCAGCAAAGAGCAGATTAGTGAGCTGAAGAGGTAAAGAGAAAGTGCAACACCTCTAAGCTCGTTTCATCTTTGCACCCACCCTGCTGGCCTGAAGAACCCTGGCTTCAGGAGCACATGGGAAACGTAACTTATGTCTTTGTTCTGTCATCTGGCCATACCTTGAAGTAACTGAAAAGATACTGCGCTGCTGCCAGATGCCAAAATCAGTATGGACTTTGAAAAGACACAGAGCAGGCACCGAAAAGGCAGAAGATGGCATTAAGGAAAGAAACAGCATTGAGGGGGTCTTGTAGTCCAAACACCACCAGTAGAAATTTAGGAGTCTCAGCTGCAGCTCTGCTACTGAACAGCTGACAGGCCTCAATAATAATGCTCTTTTCACCTTTTATTTTTCTCCTTTGTTGAAAAACAAGGTTGGATAAGTCATTAAAATCTGTTTCAAACTCTAATTTTTAAGAGTTGGATCTAAGACATTAAGGGAAGCAGCTTGGGGGAGGGCTTTGTGGTTCCATTTCTCCATCTCTCCTCAAATGTCCTAATCAGCATTATTAATGGATCGGCTCAGTGGAGGGGAATAACTTCTAACTTCTCTTAGCTTTGGTGCCGACAGACCCAGTATTTCCTGCACTTGAAAAAACCCTCAGTGGAGATAATTCCAAACTGCAGAGCAATCAAATGAGATGAGAATAAGGGGCTGGGGCAGGTGTGAAGACCTGGCGAAGAAAAGAGTATGGAGAGAAAAAGAGCAAAAAAACCTAAATAACTACGGACAAGGTTGCCACAGGTGAGAGAATCCCTAATAGAGTGGGATGGTAACTGAATCTCTTCCTCTAGGATGGTGGTGACTGATGGTCGGTTGTTTTAACACTTTCTACTAGTTATACTACCTCGATTTCTCATATGTACAAAGAATATAAAATAATAAAGTGCAGTTCATGTTTCAGTGACACTATTCCTTGCTTTAATATTTGTTGTCTTTTTCTGCTTTTGAAGTGAGCTCTCGATTGCAAAATACCAAACTACACTCAAATGAGAGTGTAGGAAAAGCCAGCTGTTGGCACAGCATGGAGAAGCCCACAAGTAAGGACAGACAGTAGCAAGTGGCAGGAGGTGGGAAGTGACTGAAGCAGTGGTTACACATGTTCACAGGAAGCTAAAACTCTCCAACAGGTTGTCTCTACAGTTAGCACAGGTTAGACTAGTCACTACGTGCTGGGTGGCCTCAGTGTGTTTGGGTTCAGATTCTACACAGCAGTACAATTTCTTCCAGTTAAGAGTTCTTGGCTTGCACCAATCACAGGGTGGCTGGAGGGCACTGGACCAGTTTATTAGTTTTTCAAAATGCTGTCGTAGACCTGGTAAATGTATTGAGAGACTTCAGGAGCTCTACATTTCAGCGACAGCTGTCAGGAAAAGAAGGAAGATTAGTATGGACGTTGGCCTAATTCTAAAAGTACCCAAACATTCAGTTCAAGAAAACTTCTGATACAAGAGATGACCTTTTATTGCTAGAGTAGCCAAACAAAGAGATCATGTTAATAAATGCTGTGAAGTCTAGAATTTCAGTTTCATCATTGTCAAGTTGTGATGTGATTCTACTTCCATCCCTTGTGGGCCTGTGAGGTTGGTAAGTAACCTACACTAAAAACATGAAAGACTCTGACTGCAGGGGGAATAGCTGCTCTTACGCTTTGCTAGGAGTTATAGGGATTACTACTAAACGAATACACATAGGCAAAATCTCTTTAACTTGCTAATGGTCATTTCTGGGATATGCCCCCATTCATTAGTCTGACAAGAAGGATGGTTCTCTCAGTCCCCATTTTATACAATCTAGTCAAGTAAAGGTGTGAGTTAGGAAGATTCAAGGTACTAGTCCTTTCTGCATTGCCTCACGGTGCATACTCTTGACAAAGACAAGCACCGACAGGTTACTTATCTAAGTAGACAGCAACTCATGCCAATTGCTTAGTCCCTCAGGATTTGCTTCCTTACAATCAGATACATTTAGATTTGGATTCCTTAATTTTCTTAAATTAGGTAAAACAACAACGACAACAACCACACCCCAAAACCCCATAACAATAACAAAACATAACAACAACAACAACAACAACAACAATAATAATACATTGTAAGCAAGGAAAATGCATCCCAGCCAAAATAAACTTAGGTTTATTTTTTTGAGACAGGGGTTACACTATGCAGTTCAGGCTGGCCTAGAAGTGATCCTCCTGCCTCAGTCTCCTGAATACTGGGATTACAGGTATGCTTCACCATGCCCGGGTAGGTTTATTTCTTTTTGGTATTATTTATATCATTCCTCTTGCCTACTAGGACAGAGGGACAAAAGTTGTGTTTTTTTTGTTTTGTTTTTATTCTTTGGTACCAGGGATTGAACTTGGGACTTTGTACTTGCAAGCCAGGTGGCAGAACTGCTGATCTAAATTCCTGGCCCCCCAAAAGTTATTTTTAACAGTATATCACCATGAAATTTTAGGTTATTTTAACTCTTTATTCTCTTACTAGAGACTCTAGTTGATTTAACATAGTATCAATGTGAAAATATCTTTGGAAAAAAGGTAAAAAAGACACTAGTTAACTGTGAATAACTAATATCCTACAAACGAAGTAAAGTAAAAAATAAATCAATTGAAGAACATGAAAAGATGCTTACACACACACACACACACACACACACACACACACACACAGACGGGCCAGGGATTTAGCTCAGCGGTTCGGTGGCCTGCTTCGCAAGCACAAGGACCTGAGTTCGATTGCCAGTACCACCACCATAAAAAAAAAAAAGATGCTTACTTAAAGCTTTAGCATGTTCCTCTGGCTTAATCCCCTGGCAGTACCTGCATGACTGTCCCATCGAGTGGCTTTTATCACCCAACAGGACTGTCCTGTGCCACCTGATGGGACAGTCATGCAAGTGCCACTGGTGTTTAAGCTTATGGGAATGGGTTATCATATACTTTCCAGGCATTTCCAAAACTGCTGCTTAATATCTGTCAGGAAAAGAATTCTGATAAATGTAAAAATAAAGCAAAACTAACATAAGAACATAAATACTGTCTGTGTAGGAAAACCGCTTCCTACTTTTTTTTCTTTCCAAGTTGCAGCTTTAGGTATTTCCCTGATTTTCAACTCCTTGTTCAGGCAATTCTTGTACCTCCTCCTTATAGCCTCTCTACTGCCAATGTTTTGGAAAATTCTAGTGGTAGAATACGTGGGTCCAGAAGAGGAGGAGGAAGGGAAACTAAAAAGAGAAGGAGAAGCTTAAGGGAGTTAACTCCCAGACTAAAGAGGGGTAGTTCCTCTTTCCCAAAATACTGGCCTGTTAAGGAAATGTTGCCTTCATTAACAAAATGCCAAAGCTGGCACTGGTGGAGAGTTGTGGCTGGTGGACCGACAAGGTCTAGACTATGAGTTGCTCTTTGGGGGATGAGGAAGAATCTTTCTGTCTCTGTGGACCCCAAATACCTGGGTCCTCCACCTCTACCTTTGCCTCCACCTGACTTTAGTATGAGTTAAATTTGCTAAATATGTGCAGTGTGATAAAAAGAATGTGGGGTTTAAGTTAAAAATATTATTACATTAATGCTGCCATTAATCTCCCACAAAATAAAAATATTCCCCCTTGATTCAAACACACTTACCCCACTGTCCTTGCCACTTTCTGAAGCAGTTCTGTAAGTCCTCTAAATGTCGTTACTTACACTGTCATGATTACCTCAATGTTCTGGGTTGATACAAAACATTTACCTTTCATGGTCATACTGACTTTGAGGAAGAGTAACATGGTGCCCCGCATCCAGTGAGTAGATGGATGGGGGCACATCACAGTGTTTTCAGGGCCGGGGATTTAGCTCAGCTTTCGGTGGCCTGCCTCGCAAGTGCAAGGACCCGAGTTCGATTCGCGGTACCAAAAACAAAACAAAACAAAACAAAACAAAACAAAACAAAAAACAGTGTTTTCATAAACCTGCCCTTCTGTTGGATGGCTTTTGGTAGCAGCATTCACCAAGTTTTTGATCTCACTTTATAAAGACATTCATGAAAGAGGACTTTGAGAAATGCATCACAGCAGCCAGGCGTGGTGGCACATGTCTGTAATTCCAGCAGTTGGAAGCCGAGGCAGGAGGGTTGCCACAAGTTCAAGGCCAGCATGGACAACATAATGAGTTCAAGGTCAGCCTGAACTACATAGCAAGATGCTGTCTCAAAAATGAAAAGAAAAGAAAACAAACAAACAAAAAAACTTCAGAAAGTGGCATGAATGGTAAGTGTGTTTGAAGTGTGTGTGGGGGAATAATTTGAGGAAGATTAATGGCAATGTATCTTTTTCTGCAATAATTAAAAAAAAAAACATTCACTGTATTGCACCTCATAGCTAGGACCCTGGGTCTCCCCTTTTGTATGGCTTCTAGGGAAAATAGGCCTTCCCTGGGTCTTACCTTTTGAACTGCTAGCCTTGATGTGGCACATATTTCACTATGAGCTACTCAGGAATGCTGTTCATCCAGATCCACCAAGGGAGAAGAGTCACTTGGTCTTGTGTCATTAAAGCCAGGACTCACATATCCACTCGTGGTGTATAGGCTGGAACATGTGCTTCTTCACCTGAACAAATTTATCTTTCCAGCTGAGACTTACCTAATTATTGAGATGTGGCTTTACTCTTACAGGATTAATAAAAAGGACTGAGGTTGGAGGGCAGTGCTCTATCAACTCATTTTAGGAGACTAAGGACCACCAGTCTTAACACACTAAGACAGGATCAACCAGATTTTGTTCCTCTTTAATAATGAGCTGAGATCAGCTCAATGGTGTAACGGGTGTTTAGCATGAGAGGGAAAAGAATGGATTGGAGTGATTTTCAAGTCTGGAGCACCACTTAGGGAAATGGCTTAGAGTTAGGTACTGTGACGAAAGATTTAGAATCTAGACAGCACTGTGCGCAGAGGGATCCTAGTCATCAGTTGGTTGAAGAATAGAAAAGAAGGCAAGGAAACATAAATAAATATAGGGGAGGATGGAAGGTGGGTGTAGCTAAAAAAGGGTACAAAATCTCACTGTGTTTTATCTCCTCCACTATTTTCTTTTCTTTCTCTTCCTCCATCTTCCTTTCTTTTTTCTTTCATTTGTACTTATTTTCTGTTGAATTTATTCCTAGGCCTTAAGTTCTTGCTTCTTCTGTGCACCATCCTCTTCTGGTTTAGGAACAGTTTGTTACCCTTCAGTAGGGATCATCTCAGTGTGATGGGGAGCTCATGTATGGGTTAGTCCCACCATGAGCTCTGTCACTATGGCGGCACAACTTGAGAGCTCTGTTCACTAGTTAAGTGCTTAATGATTATAAAATCCATATCTAAACCTTTAAGGGCCACAACTACTCTGCATTTTTAAGCATGTGCAATAAAGATTCAGCACTCTTTTAGGGTCACCAACTCTGTGTGCCTTAGGTGCACCTCACAACACACTGTAATACAGAATGGCATACACTGCTTCTGGAAAGTGACATCTTTCAGATACTTGGTGACTTCTGGGATACAGATATTTCTAATGGCCTGTGCAGTTCTTAAAGCAAACATAAAGATCTGAATTTTTTGATTTGCATACTTGTGTTCTGGGTCAAATGAATAGAGAGATATTTTCCAGAGATGACCTCAGAATGCTTATGGAAAGAATTAACTATGTTACTTCTTACAAATGTATGTGAATCTACAATTATCTCAGAATAAAAACATTTAAAAAAATATAGAGCTGGGTGAATCCCTGTAATCCCAGCACTCTGGGAATCTAAGGCTGGAGGATCATAAGTTTGAGACCAACCTGAGCAATTTAGCGATTTAGGGATATACTGTCTCACAATACAGCTGGGGACATAGCTCAGTGTGAATCCCCAGTACCACCCAAAGAAAAACTCCTCAAAAATGAAAACAGACAAACAAAAACCAAAGAAACTTCAATGAGTACATGGAGAAATTGTGATCCATGCATACAATGAATCAACTTTCAATGATCTTAAAAGAGAGCCAATTATTAATACATATAACAACTCAGTGGATGCCAAAGGCCTTATGCTGGGTGCAAAAAACAATCTCAATAGGTTACCTAATGTACAGATTTAATTTATATAATATTTTCAAAATGACACACATAGCAGTTGAACACATCAGTGGTTGCCAAGAATTAGAGGGTGACAGTCTAACTATGAAGGGACAGCAAGAGGTTTTTTTGTGGGATGTGAACAATTCTGTGTCTGGACTGTGACTGGGGTTACAATAAATCCACAATGGTACCCTGGTTAATGAACTTAATTCTTTCCATGATTCTGGCTGCAAACCAAATTGGATGAGAACTGAATCAAATTCAATGGTTAGGTTCAATGTTGACCTTATGGGGAAATTTGATTTGGTTCTCATCCAATTCGATTTGTGACCAGAATCAGGCAAAGAATTAAACTCATGAATGGAGGTACCACTGTATATATACAACAAAATTTCACAGTACTATGTATCACCCAATTAAAATAAAGGACATGATGTAAAGAGAACTCTCAATAGGGTGTATGATTAACTGTATGTTATCAATGGGGAAAGGCCTTACCGTATAATTGGGGTTTCCTGGCTGGATGCGTAGCTCGGCCAAAATCCAAATGCCATTAGTGAGTTTCAGGGATTGGTACAGCATGTCCTGCCCTTCCACATTCCTCTTGGCAATAGTATAAACATTGTTGTTTTGCAACTTGCTGGAAACAGTGTCTAGACATACAGATTCAAAACACAACATCTTCAGGTAAAATCTCAGACAAATGCACATCCTAACATCCTTGAGTCATGTGTGCTCGAGTGCCCTGACAAAGTACCATCATGTGCCCAAGTGCACTTTTCAGCTTTAAAGCTCTTTTCCCCCAAATAGCAAATGATGAGGAACAGGCTCATGAAGTGCCTACCTATCAGAAACCCAGAAAACAGAATTAGGTGCACCTAAGCATTTAAAAGCGTAAGAGTTATTTGTAGGGATTAAAAGATGGGTTGGCCTAAGGATTTATTATCTATGTACTAGAAAGGTAAAAATGATCTGAAAGAGACAAAGACAGAAACAGATGTGTGGAGGTTCCAGAGTTAGTGTTCTGTTGGTATTCATTTCTGGAATGCTGATCTTAGACTAGTGGGGATACAGACTGATGGTCAACTCAACTCTCCTTCCCAAACTGCCACTATTTCACTGTATGCTACTTGAGCCTCAGCAGCCAGGATCAAAAAAGGATACAAAGTTGCAGAAGTACTTCAAGTCAAATTTAATAATTTGGATATCCCCCCCATTCCCGTGTGTGTGTGTGTGTGTGTGTGTGTGTGTGTGTGTGTGTAGCTACAGATTAGACCCAGGGCCTCCAGTACCTGTATTTCTTTTTTTCTTTTAAGTAGGCAAATGACTTCTTGACTTTAGGGTAGAAGGGTGGACAGGAGAATAGGAAGGGGAATTAGAAAGATCAAAATGCAGTATGTATATGTACCAATTCCCCACACGGAATGTATTATGTGTTGCACATCATGCCTCCAAATAAATAATGAAACAAACTGTCTCAACAAGAGACTCTGAGAAAGACTGAAGCCATGCAAAGGTGACTGGTAACAGACCCTGAAGTCTCAGATGTTGCTGCTAGTCATGGTGGAAGTTTTCATAGTTACCAACTCAGGGTAAGAGCAAGTTGGTGTTTGGGCTCTTTCTCGTGACTGCATACAGCATCAAGGAGACATAATGTTCCAGAAATAAAGGTCATTTCTCCTTGAGTAGATGCTGCAGCATAGAGAAAGAGAAACTTGAAGAATAGAGATGATAAACACTGCTTCTTTGTTAACTGTTTCTTACATTCATTTCTGATGAGAATTCAAATTACTCATGCCTGCTTCAGGAACTAAATTCTCCCACATAAAAATCTGTCATATTCTAGTGTGCTCTCTAGGAAAAGGTACCACGATGGATAGCCTTCTACCCTCCTAAATGTAGGCTCTCAGCACAAGGATCTTGCATTTTTCATCATTATTCTTCCTGCAGTACTTGGGACACAACAGGTAAATGTCACTAATATCTGTGAATATGTCTCTGACTCAAGTGTTAAAATGCCAATGTTTGCATAATGCTGTAGACATAATCATCTACTTAGGTAGGAGGCTTCTTCTGGAAGTACTTCTCTTTCTGATGTCCCTTTCCCACACTTGAGCCAGTGAAATTCCGGGGAAGATGCAGTAAAGCCACAATCATTAAACATTTTCATGACATTTAGTTTTTACCTCACTTTTCCTCTTTTATTTCCAAGATTTTCACTAACACCAAACACAGTAGTTATAATTTAAGGAACATTTCTGTTTGAGGAGCTAACAAGTGTATCTCAGAGTAGTTACACACAATACTGCTGGAGAAGGGGGCCTCCGTAAGCTCTCTAGTCACCTCGTGGGGAGTCACACTGTTTGCTGTCACAGTGAAGGGTTCTTGAGCTTAAATGGGTTGCTAAGCAATATCACAAGCTGGAGTTTGGCTAACGTCTTCCAATAGGACTGTCTTTAAAACACAGGGGCCTGCGTTATGTTGTAAAAGCTATTCCTGACTTTCAAGGCCTCTGCCCATTTCCCTCAACAACAGAAAACACAGGAACGTGGTTCAAGAATCACCTTGCTGCACAGGGGCAAATGCATTCCATAAATTTAGCAAGGCCCAGATGCCTACAGACTTCTAAGTTCACCATGTACATGGAAGAGGTGATAATGTCAGGAATTTGATTCTGCTCATACTGAAGGGTGGCACTGTGATTTCTATCAGAGGACAGAATGAAGGAGGGCTCTATAATGTGTACATGTTCTCCTTTCCTCATCACCAGCCCTATACATTACAGATACTAGGTTTGAGTTAGAGGGTTTATAGATTTTAGATAATCAGACTCTGCTAAATATACTGATTAAGAGTGGCAATAGAAACCAGACATAAGAAGCTTCCTTGCCAGTTTGGATTAGACATGTTTACTTGATTTTTCAATACTGGAGACTGAACCCAGGGTCTCAAGCATGGTAGGCAAATTACTACCACTGAGCTACAAGCCCAGCCTTTTCTGCCTGGGCATGCGCCACCATGTCCCTGGCTAGAACAGACTTCTTGCATCAGTTTTTTGTTTTACATATATAAACTCCTGGAAAATAAGATGGGATCTTGCAGTTGGGAGACTGTGAGAATGAGAATGCAATGTAAATTGTTTTTCTTCCTTTATCATTCTTATTTAGCTAGGGTCACATGTCTTCGGGCTGCAATAAGGGTAAAGTTGATACTCACGAGTAGAGAGGGACAGGGAACTTCCATTTGGGATCCTGCTCGGGTGTTCATTAACAAGTTCAAAAGAAGTAAGTTTAGAACTAAAAGAATTTATTTTTTGTCATTACCATTTGAGCAAATGAGTGAGTTAAGTACTAGCTGGGAAAGTTTCTAGTTTGGAAATGTTCTAATGGATGACAGGAAGAGCCACAATACACACAGAAAGTGAGCTTGCCCTCACCTAGTGCCCGTGCATGAAGAAATATCTGTCTCCTTTACCATGTCTAACTAGTGAAAGCAGAAACATCATGTCTCTGAGATTTACACAGTATGATAAACACTGAGTTGAAAATATAGGCTTGTAGAATTGCTTGTCACAAATATTCTTTTTTGAATATGGCTGAAGATGCAAAAGTTCTCACACATGTAAGGTAGCATTCCCAGTTATGTATGAACCTCAAATGCCACTGTAATGGTAAGATGGGAAACAAATTCAGACAGATCTCTAAACATCTGTAGAAGTGATCGGTGCTGGGAAAGAGGGAGTGCTGTCTACTGGTATCTTTCTGATACAAAATTTTCTAGTATTTACAACTAGTTTAACACTGCTATCATATACACTTTTCTATTAAGATTTGATTAATTATTAAGACTCAGGAAGAGGTTTTCTTCTCTAGAGAGAGATAAAAGAGCAAAAGTTAAAGCTCAATGCTAGGCTGGTAAGTCCTTTAAGTCTGTGACTTCCTGTATCTCTCAGAGTGTTCATTCCATCTGTCAACTGTCTATGCTAGCACAGAAAAGCTATTTTAAGTGTTGCTGCTATTGTGATTAGGGCAGATCAGCAGGAAAAGATGTTATTTTTAGCTCTAAGCTAGGCACAGGGTGTTGAATCAGAAGGCACTAAACCTGCAGTTAATAGAGCTCCTGGTTAATAGAGCCTTCAAGATTGGAAAGAAGCCAGGAATAGTGATGCACACCTGTAATCCCAGCACTTTTGGAGGCTGAGGCAGGAGGATCACTTTGAGGCCAGCCTGGGCTACAAAATGAGACTGTCTCAAAAAAAAAAAGAGAGAGAGAGCTTGAAAAGATTAGCTTTAGGAAGCTATCTTGAAAGATTAGCAGTGATTCAGTGTGAGAAATGATGGGATTAGGCTCCTGAAGAAAATGAACTGTTTTTCCCTGTGTTCTATGTGCTCCACTGCCATAGAATGGTGTGTCACTGGAAAATCAGTTCATTTGCTATTTGGAGCATCTAAAGCAGAGAGGGATTAGCATGAGGCCATGGCAGAATTGATAAATGAATCTGCACTGAGGACTACATCCCTTGGAGAGGATACAACCTCAACTGGAGAAAGGCCAGACATTTCTTCTTTGGTGAAATTACATACACCAAGTGCAATAAGGGTCAAAACTGACCAGGAAGCAGAGGGATCTTTTCTTACTATTATTCTGGCAGGCCAGACTAAAGTCCTCAGTCACTCAAACTTCCAATGTCTTTTCTGAAAAACCATACCCTTTTCACAGTGGAACTCTGGGGCCGGGGATTTCTCAGTGGTTCTGCGGCCTGCTTGCAAGAGCAAGGATCCGAGTTTGATCCCCAGTATCAAACAAAACAAAACAAAAAAACCCCCCAAAAACCAAAAAACCAAAACAAACAGCCCCCCCCCAAAAAAAACCCAAAAAACCAAACTACTGTGGATCTCTGAAATGAAATTTGCTTTCCAGTTACTCTGGCCTTTGTTTGCTCTCTGTAGTATTTATTAGGTTATATTCAAGAAAAAGTGGTGTTCTATAAGATGTTAACAATAAGACAGGCATGCCTGTAATCCCAGCTCTCAGAAAGCTGAGGCAGGAGGATCATCGCACATTCAAGGCCAGCCTGGGATACACAAAGAGTTGAGCTGAACTACATTGCCAAGATACTGTCTCAAAAAAAAAAAAAAAAAAAAAAAAAATCAAGCGATACCAATAAGCACTTCGTGATTTAAAATTCCACTGTCAACAAATTCAATTAACACTGAGTTAAATGTATCTTTTTCAATGAAGGGCTTCTCGAGAGTTTTAGTGTGCCAATGTACAACTTTTAAGAGAGGGATATCGTATTTTTAAACTCTGACCAGAAACTCCCTTTTCTGAGGGACAAGTGTTCTCAGGAACATACTACTTGAAATGTTTCCAGTGGGCCAACTGCCACAAGGTGACAGTTAATCCACAGCCCAGTCTCGTTCAAGTGGGGAAGAGAGGCATTTTTAATGTTGATTAAAGAGGTTAGTAGCATCATAGGAAAGGTGACAAAAGGCAGGAAAATAAAAAAGCTATCAGTCAGGCTTTAAACCTGTTAAGTTTGTTTCTTTAATCTAATGGGAACATCTCTGATTCTCACCACTAGCCACTGTGGCTTCTGTATCCAGGGGCTTCCTGAAAAGCAGCTTTTGCTGTAGAAAGCTGTCCCTCACCTCCTATGCTCACCCACGAGGGACAAAGAACACTGTCATTTACTTCAAAGAGTATGGCACAAAATGAAGATAATAAATTAATTATTTTAAATCACAGAAGACTCCTTAAATCCCTCTCTAGAGACTGAGGGGGTGTTAGACAATCCTAATCAGAAGGGAGCCTCTTCCTGAGGTTTCTATACTCAAAAGATGCCAGGATGTCTTTCTTTTAAGTCAGAGATTAGGCATTCTGCATGTCTCAGACAGGGCTTACTGGATCATCACATTTAAAGCAGGCATCACAGGAAGGAGCTGATCACTATCTACCTGGATTTCAAAATCCCCAACATGAAAAGATATATCTGAATATAAAAGATGACTATAATATAGAAAAATAAAAAACCTGAAACTGAAAACAAAAAGTTGGAATGAGAACACAGCGTGTGAAGTCAGGTGTGATGGTGCACACCTGTAATCCCAGTACTCGGGAGACTGAGACAGGACAGTTCAATGCTAGCCTGAAGTACATAGTGAGTCCCTGTCTCAAAAACAAAATCCCCCAGCACCCCCCAACCTAGAAGGCAGTACATGTGGTTTTTCTTTGTTGTTTTGTACTGCTATATTGCCTCCTTTTTCCAGTGCTCTCTTTAAACAACAATGGGAAGATGGCAGTGTGCTGAAAGACCCTTATGAAGATCAATGCAGGAAGGAAATGTTGGATCAATGAGGAAAGAGGAGGTGCTGACCAAGTACCAAGGCTCACTTTATTCAGAGCCATAAAGTCTGTACAAATCTCAAAATGTGTGTGTGTGTGTTACAAAAGGCAGAACTTGGAACAGTGAACAGTCCAGTGAAACAAAGCTCTAGGACAGCTGCTATTATTTATTCTCTTGGGTTACTCCTTTTTATGTTTTATTATAGTAATAAACTACAAACAATGTTCTAGAGATTTTTTAATGGTGATTAAAGAGTTAGTAGCATCATAAGAAAGCTGATAAAAGGTAGCACAAAAAAAAAAAAAAGGCTATCAGCCAGACTTTAATCAACCATGATCTATTCTTTCATTATAAATAGGATTCTAAATACAAGCTCTCAAAAAGACAGTCACCTTTTCTCCACTACCTGCTATAAAAGACAAAAGGGTCCTTTCAATTCTCAGGAGAGTACCTATCTTCAAGAGTCACTTCCATTACTTAATATTTGGTATACTGAAGCAACATGATTATTAACATGTCTTCAACCACTGAAGCACTGGGTAGGAAGGTAGGCATTCTACTTTTTTTCTTACACCTGATATCATGTACATAATTGAGCATCTTACATCAGACATCCCAAGCTTTTAAAGAAAGGTTTGCATACAGTCACTGGAAACAGCTCAGATATGGAAAGATAAAGGAAAAATAAAATCTCCAAGTATCTAATTGATTTACTAAGATGAAGATGAAATTTAGTTATTACTCACCAGCATTTAAATGGCATTCCTTAATCTGAAACTGGAGTTCATTTTCATTGGGAATATCCTTCCATGTTGCCAGGAAGACTTGGCGCTCTGTAGGGAAGCACAGAGGAAGGATAGATATGAACAACTGTTAGTATTCTGATTGGGTTTTTTTTTTTGGTACTGGAAATTGAACTCATGGCCTCATGCTTTCCAAGCAGGTGGTGCACTGCTGAGCTCCATCCCTGGCTGGCCCACTATTCTGATGGCTTGCTGTATACTATATGCTGGTCTTGCAATACACATAGCAGAATTGGAGCCAATTTTAGCTGCGCCCAGATATTACACCCTCCAGGTCAGTTATTTCTACATCAATAGCACTAAGATGCATTGGAAGGGTCTACTTGTCATTTTGGTTCTCTTGTTTTCCTATCTGAGTGATCTTGGTAAGTTCAGTGACCTTTCTGAGCTTTAATTTCTTCATAAATAATTGCATCTGTCTTGATCCAAAACAGGCACTGTGAAGATCAGTTAAATGCCAATACAATTTAATAGGTACCAATATATGTTAGTTTTATTGGAGGTAGTTTCATAAATAAAGGAAGAAAAATGCCAAAAGCCACATGAAATACTAATGGTTTATTACAAATTACTGAATTCTTGAGTCAGTGTGAACTTAGTACAGGGTTAAGTGCTAAATTTACACACTTTCCCTCATTAAGTCATTATAAAAACTATTTCTGTTTTGCAAACTTGGAAAATTAAATAGAAAAGCTAAGCATATTGTCCTTGGCCACACAGCTAATAAATGGCAGAGCTAAGATTCAAATTCATATCTACCTGTCCCCAAACCTCTTACTCTTGGGATACAGATCTGATTGGATTATTCAGATAAATGAACATGGTGATCTAGAGACTAATGGCAGAACAACAACAAAAAGCCACTGATTCAGGCAAATAAATGAGCAATCACTAGGTATTTAGAATATTTGTACCTAATTTTTTAAACCTTAAAATAACTTGTACTCCTGGGTGTACTCTACCTGACATTCAGAGGAAGGGCAAAGGTATCAGGAGGACATACTTACCCATTTTGCCATCTTCTACAAAAAGCACATTGAGTGGGATGAGGCAGCTGAAGTAGAAGACATCAATATTGTTTTTAACAGCCACCTGCCAAGAAAGCAACAAGGGAAAATGAGGACATCCTAGGAGGCAAGGTAGGAGGGAAAGAACAGTTGTGTGTCTAGGAATCTATCTCCTGATTTCCTTTCTCTTTTAGTCAGTGTGGGCCTCCTCAACCAGACACACCAGCCTATACAGTGCAAAGCAAACCCTTCCTTACTCCACTGTTTCAGAACTGTGACCACCTGCAAATCTCCCTCTCTCCAGAGGGCTGTCTTCAAGGCACAACTCTTGTACCCAGAATAATGTATTTACCTATTATTTCTATGATTAAAATATTTTTTAGTTGGCAGTTTCTATGATTATTAATACTAGGTTGCTACCACTTACCAAATACCTCCTAATGATATTATTTCTACTCCTCTTCTGTCTGATCCAAAACCTGGGTTATATTTTTCTTCCATAATTACTAGTGCCATAATTTCTCTAATTATACATTTTTTAGATATAGGTCTTAAAGTTATTTCTCTTATAAAATCTTGTCTTGTCATTGGAAAAAACTTGTTGGGCTGAACACTGGTTAACTTGATAATTATAAGAAGGAAAAGACTTTAGGCAAGCCAAGAAATGAGTTTTCTTCTCACAATACATACTCTTGGGTTATGATTTTACATGGCCTCTTAATTCAGAGCACGCTATCTTAAAAATGCTATACTAAGTACTTTTATTTGGGGCAACACTGAGTGGCATGCTCTGATTGGCACAGTTCAGGAACAGGCAGATTCTACTGCACTGATCATAAGACCCATATACAAAGAGGGAGAAGAGTTTGTCTAAATGATCACCACCCACTGGTTTCTGTCACCAGTGACTTTCCTACCTATGCTCTTAGCACTGCAGGAAAAACAGTTCTCTGGGCAAGTTATGTGATCAGCAACTATTTCATCTTATTTTGTTCTAAAAAAAATAAATTAAAAAAAATATGTGGAAAAAAGTGCTTGTTCAGTACCACTATTCTTCCTCTTCTCTTTTTTATGGCAAATGTCTGTACTTCAATTGTAACCTATCTCTCCATCAAAATTTTGGCTATAAGATACAAACATCAGCTTTCTGAAGTACTAGCAGACCTTTTACATTTATTCTTAACTATTTTTTATGACTGAAAAAGTACCTTTTCTTCCTTCTTCATAATTGTTTGGCTATGTCTCCCTGACAGTCTTCCTTATCTCTCTCCCTAAAGAATCCCTCAAATTACATTTCTAGTAGTAGCTTGTGCTTTTAACTGTTCAATTATTAAGACTAGGAGTTTTTAACCTATATCATAGAGCCCAATGCCCACAATGCCGAGAGTAGGATTCCCAGAAAGACAGAGCAGAGTAACTAATGTCAGGAAAGAAGGACTTCAGACATTCTTTAAGATGCACCAGAGAGCTACTTTCAAATATTTATACCAGCTGTGGGCTTCTGGGAAAGAGGCATTTTCTAATTCATCCGGTACTCAGCAAATGAATTAGAGAGAAAGAGAATTCATATTTCAAATAAGGGAAACAAGATGTTGAAAGTGCCAGGCTCTGTAAAAGACACTTAGAAGTGAAAGCTGAAGAGTTGGAATGGCTACTTGTGGGTCATATTAAGGTGTCTTGTGAAATAAGTGACTAATTACTAATGAGTAATCATTTCCCTTGTGGTAATGGGGACTGAACTCAGGGGTGCTCTACTACTGACCTATATCCCTACTTGTTTTCGGTGTTTTATTGTGAGACAGGATCTTGCTAAATTTTCCAAGCTGGGATTGAACTTGTCCTCCTGCTTCAGCCTTCCTAGTAACTAAAATCATGCCGCACTGCGCCCAGTTTATTACTTTCATCTTTGAATAAAAAGCAGTCATGTTTCAAAATGTGCCATTCATTCAAATATTTATAAATGCTTACTGTGTCCTAAGTATTTGAGAGATAAAGGAGAGAACAGAAAATATAATCTCTATCCCCCAGGAGATATGCCTTAACCAAAGACATATCAGAATCATCTAGACAGGTTTTTCAATCTATGGAAAAGAATCACAATTTCTAAATCTGGGACCTGGCTTGAGAATTTTGGGAAAGTACCTAGGAAGACCAATCAGATAAATAATTAGAACAATGCTGTCAAGTAAGCCTGAATGACCCCATAAACACAGTGTTCTTCTGAAATGACTACTATCCTATCAGTGCCCTTTAACAAGAGCAAAGCCATGAAATGCTCTTGCAGGTCAGAGATGCTAAGCCATCGGCCTTCCATACCCTTTTGACAAACAGATGAAAGCCAGCAACCCTCTTGTTGAGAAATGAACGTAACATGACATTCTGGCATAAAATTTCTGTGGTTTCAAGACAGCCTAGGGTGGGATTTAGCTCAGTGGTTCCGGCACCTGCCTTGCAAGCACAAGGACCTGAGTTTGATCCCGGTACCCCCCCCCAAAAAAAAGACAGCCTAAATACTACCTCAGGACTTTTGCTCTAGACTACATTAATTCTCTGAGAAGGGGGCACCCTACAGGTGTTCAAAGCAATCTTAAGAGCCACAGCACCTGATTTCAAATTCTGACCTGACACCTGCTATCTGTGTGACTCTGGGCAAGTAGTACTCAGATCAATTTCCTGTCTGTAAAAAGGAGATCACAACAGTATTCATGAGATTGTCATAAGGATAATAAATTAATATTTATAGAAGAACAGTGGCTGAGCCCAATAAATATTATAGCACCTATTTGTTCAACAAAGAAAAACTCCCTCTGCTTTACCATCTCCTGTTTTACTAAACTGAACCTAGAGCTTTTGCACTGAACTGCATAACTAGCCATTTTAAATTCTGACAGGGGCTTGCTAAGTCATAGAGTTGCCCAGGCTGGGTTTGGCTTGTGATCCTTGCCTATGCCTCCCAGAGTACTAGGATTATAGGTATGTGCTACCATTCCCAGCTCTTTTCCTCTTTACTGAGAATTTTTCATAATTAAGGATAACAAAATTACTGGAAATCTTCTACATGCTCAAATATAGTACTACTATTATCCCGTATTTCAAAAATATACGGCTGTCTTGGATCAACTCCTACCCACCTCGGCAGACTATTCCTTCACTTCAACCATACCAAAATTACTTATTCCTTATATTGGTGTCTGTCCTTTTAAGTCTAGTAGATTTTTTTGTTTTTTTTAATGAAGTTGGGTATGCTAACACTTGGTACATAGATATTTAAAACTGTTATCCCTGCCTGTGGAATTGCTCCTTTTACCAGTATGTAGTGGCCATATCTCTTCTGGTTCAGTTTTCAGGCAGAGTGATCTTAAAATATAGGTCAGCTCTTAATATTTCTGAACTTAAATGTCCACTGATTTTCCTTTTTACTTAAAATAAAACCAAAATAAAGAACTGCCTATTTACCTCTCTGATTTATGTGCTGCTACTTCTCCCTGCTGCTAGCTTCACTCCAGCCATAGGAGCCTGCTTCTGCTCCTTGCACGTCCAGGCATGTGCCTACTTCATGGCTTTTTTGTATTTGCTGCTTCTTTTTCTTTTTTTGTTTTTTGGTACTGGGGATCGAACTTGGGTCCTGCATTTGTGAGGCAGGCAGCGGAACCACTGAGCCACCATCCTCCCAGCCCTGCTCCTTCTTTTTCTTTTGTCTGGAATGTTTTTTTCTTTAAATGGCTCACTCCTTGCCTCCTTTAGGTCTTTGCTTTAATCAAATATGATCTTCTTAGGCAGACATTTCATGATTTTACTATATTTATAATACTGCATCACCCAACTTCCAACATTAGGAGTGCATATTCCAATTCTTGTTTTATTTTCTTCTACTATCCTATCCTCACTACCATCAGTCTTTGTTTTCTTTGGGATGGGGGATTGGTACCAAGATCAAACTCAGGACCTTGCACTTGCCAGGTAGGCACAGCTCCAGTTGAGCTAAATCCCCAGCCCAGACTTATTTTTTAAAAAACACTATTGCTTTACTGCTTGCCCCAATGCAATATACCTCACCTCCAGCAGAGTATACATTCCATGGAGGAAGAGATTTTTGTTTTTTGTTTACCACAGGATTTTCACTTTCTAGAATAGTCATTAGCAGAGAGAGTAAGCTGAATGAGAATTATTATAAAATATACTACTCAAGATTTTTTAACCTCTTTCAGTTTAGACAAGATGTGAACTTAGTTCAAAAGGTATCAAAAAAACAGCACTTCCCATTTACCTAGTGTACTTCCCTTAACAGCAAAAGAGAGTATGGACCCACACTGGGGAGGAAACAGGACAAAGCCCAGGATTAGCATTTAATATGAAGTAGCCTATCATAAAAACAAAATTTCTCTGAAGTTTCATGAAGTAACTCTATAACACATTCATACATGTTTAACAGGAAAATATGTTTCTCCCTTTATCTCCAAGTAAAGTGATGCTCCAGGAAAATGTGGCCTCACATATTCTTTAGCTTCAAGTACCCTTAGCATGGTGGGACATGACAAATTTGTGATTTTAAAAATTAATTTAAGCCGGGCGTGGTGGCGCACGCCTGTAATCCCAGCACTCGGGAGGCTGAGGCAGGAGAATCCTGTGAGTTTGAAACCAGCCTGGGCTACATAGTGAGTTCCACGTTGGTCTCAACTACACAGTGAGACCCTGTCTCAAAACAAAAAAACAAAACAAAACAAACAAACAAACAAAAGTTAATTTAATTAAAGCCAGGCACAGTGGTTTATGCCCATAATCCCAGGTCTCTGGGAGCTGAGGCAGGAGGATGACAAGTTCAAGTTTAGCCATAGTAACATAATGAAATCCTGTCCCCCCCCCCCCCCCCCCAAAAAAAGGGCCTGCCTGCCTCACAAATGCAAGGTCCTGAGTTCAATCCCTGGTACAAAAAAAAAAGTTAACACACACACAAAAAAGGGCCTGGGTTCAATCCCCAGTGGGGAACAGGGTAGAGATTGAGTGAGCTGAAACTGATATTAAAGAATAAAATAGAAAAAATACTGTAAGCTGCAGTTTAAAGGTATAAAAGCCATAATATTCACA